CGCGCACTCAAATAATAATAGCAAGCTTGGGAGTGCATTCGGATATCCTGCAGTATGCAAAGCCTGTAGTCAATGAATGTAACAATCGGCCTTCACTTAGGGCCAATGCACTGCTGCCTGCTATAGTTGTGATCAGCCAACAGGATAATTTGAACCTTACTACGTGTGATCACTGTCTGCAAAAACTCGGCCTTCACTTAAGGCCAGGCCACTATTGCCATCAAATAGAAGTTTGTTAATTGAACCTCGTTGTGTGTGTGACCGCTGAAGTACTGGTTCAAAATCGAGCAACTGCCAAGTCTTCACGCAATGAGCTTTGGTGTTCAGGCTTAAATAGACAATGCATATTGGTGTGCAGACCCAAAATCGGTTATTTGCGAAGTCCACAGTTAAAATGGATACCGGTGTTCAGACTTAAATCAGCTATTTACCAGGCACACAGCTGAAATGGATACCGGCGCTCAGGCTCGAAATCGGCTATCTGCAAAAGCTGTGTTCTCGGATGAAAATGGCACTCGCACATTGGTCAAAGTTCTCAGATCGAGTGCCTATGGGCACACTGGCTCTCAATCATCAAAATGATGCTTCAGAGTTTGGGTGCGCACCAGCGCACAGGTCAAAGCAGAAACTGAGATTGAGTATGTATCGATTCGCTGGTTCACAATCATCAGAGTTTGGATGCGCACCAGCACACTGGTCAAAGCTGCCTCCGGATACAGCGTGCGTGGGCGCACAGTCCAGATACGATCCTCAGACATAGTGCGCGCAGGCGCACGGTTCATATATGGCCCTCAGGCACAGTGTGCGCGGGCGCGCAGTTCAGATACGACCCTCAAACATAGTGCGCGCAGGCACACAGTTCAGATATGGTCCTCAAGCATGGTGCGCATGAGCGCACAGTTCAGATACGGTCCTCAAGCATGGTGTGCATGAACGCACAGTTCAGATACGGTCCTCAAGCATGGTGCGCATGAGCGCGCAGTTCAGATACGGTCCTCAAGCATGGTGCGCGCAGGTGCACAGTTCAGATATGGTCCTCAAGCATGGCGCGCATGAGTGCACAGTTTCAGAACCGGTAACGTCATCTGCAGTGCACGCCTGGGCGCACAGCCCCAAAATCGCCAATATTACCTGCAGTGCGGGCCTGGGCGCACAGTCTTCAAAATCGGTAATGTCATCTGCAGTGCACGCCAGGGCACACAGTCTCCAAATCGGTAATGTCATCTGCAATGCGCGCCTGGGCACACAGTCTCTAATGTCGTCTACAGAGCGCACCTGGGCAGTTGCAGTGCGCACAACTCATGAACAGCCCTCAGTTGCAGTGCGCACAGACGCACAACTCATGAATGTCAACAGCATTGCGTGTAGTCGAATCGAGGGTCTACGGGCTCTGGCAGCTGTGGCGGAGTGCAGGCACAAGGGGGCTCACTAAGAATCAGCAGACAGGCTTGATGACTTACTAAAGCAAGCAGGCATCCGTGCCAGTTGATGATTCATACATGACCCAAGAGGGGTAGGTGAACATGGAGGGAAGGAAGAAGAAGACCAGGGGAAGCAAGAGAGTGAAGGAGAATAGAAGAGAGAGAGAGAGAGACGGGAAGGCGAGGGGCAGAAAATGAGAACAGCTGCAGGGAACGGGTGACCAGGTGAACTTCCAAGACGCCCTTCCCTGCCAGCCTTGCCCTTTCCCTTTCCTTACCTCTGCTCAAGCTTGCCTCGATTTGACTCCCTCTTGCCCGTAGTTCTCACTTCTGTTCACCAGCAGCCCCCGTACTCCCATTGGCTCGCCGCTGCTCCTTAGTTCATGTAGTATTTCCCAGCTGTCCGCTTCCCTCTCCTGCCGTTCTGCCAGTGCTGCCGCACTCCCGCAAGTGAGGGCTTCCTACTTTGCACGTGCACCAGCCATTCTTATATAGCGTGGCTGGTGCAGTTAGCCGGTCCTACTACTTGGACTGGCAGCAATTCCGAGTAGCCGAACAGTCAGTCTCAGGTAACCGAACAGTCAGTCTCAGGTAACCGAACAGTCAGTCCCACGCTAAAAATAGCGTGGGACTCCACTAATTTTAGCACGGGACTGGCGCAGGCCCAGTCCACGGTAGACGAACACTCAGTCCCACGCTAAAAATAGCGTGGGACTGTGCTAATTTTAGCACGGGACTGGCGCAGGCCCAGTCCCCGGTAGACGAACAGTCATTCCCACGCTAAAAATAGCATGGACTGTGCTAATTTTAGCACGGGACTGGCGCAGGCCCAGTCCCCGGTGGACGAACAGTCAGTCCGACGCTAAAAATAGCATGGGACTGTGCTAATTTTAGCACGGGATTGGCGCAGGCCCAGTCCCCGGTAGGCGAACAGTCAGTCCCACACTAAAAATAGTGTGGGACTGTGCTAATTTTAGCACGGGACTGGTGCAGGCCCGACTTTGGGAAACGAAGAGTCAGTCCCGTCCCTAAAATAGCACGTGACCCCATCTTAATTATTACTAGGGCCGGGTTATTCATTTACGTGACCGTTTCGGGGCTGTTCCTCTTCCGACCGAGTGATGCGGCCGTGTCAGTCCGGTCCCAACCGGTCAAACTTGATTATCTCACTAATCCTTGGTCTGTTTCAAGTGCCGTTTGGGCCGGACCCTAGTAATTAGCCCCTTGCGGTCGCGACGGTCCAGTCCAACGGGGACGATCAGACCTCCGGAGGACCGTACCGCCGTTCTGTCTTCTCCGCGATTTCGGCCTTGGGGAATTTTAACCGACACATTAGGGCCCAGTTGACTATCGGTGGACAATCCCTGGCGCAGATCTGATGCAGCGCGGAGGTTGACCGCAACGAGTCAACTTCCATGGCTGCGTCGCATCGTCTTCCGACAGCGCGTATTAATAAACGTGTTTTGTCTTGCACATGCGGTACCTCCCACTTACCTTGGTGCCACGTCAGCACCTGACAGCAGATTGCGATGAAGGAGTATGCTCCGATACCAAATTGTAATGAACCCAGTCTGGCAGATACTCATCCAACGTCAAAGCACAAGTAGTCTTCGATCTGCACAAAGTCTCCAGTTAACATGAAGTGATATCTGAAACAGTATCTCGTTAACAATAGACGACGAGTGGAGGGGGAATAGACAGAGGAGAAGGTGGTAGAGATAGTCAATGATCACACAAGAGTTGTCCCGATCCTTTGGGCCTCCCCTCGCCTCCACGTCAACAACCAATACACAGTAACAAGTCTGATAAATCCTGATCACACAGAAGTGCCATGTTGCACTCTTATCTCGTGAAGACCATGAAGACAACAGCAGAATACGGTAACGGCGTCAACCTCAGGTGAGTACCAGATCCCAATCATCCACAGATCCCGATCTCCCTCCTTGTCGCAACCAGTCACCTCATGTAGACATCGTGGCCAATGCCACGTCAGCTGTAGAGACAGTTGGCAGCGCCACATCAGCAACACAATGTAAACAGGTGGCACCGCCACATCAGCAATGTAGACAAGTGGCATGCGCCACATTAGCAATGTAGACAAGTGGCATGCGCCACATCAGCAATGTACACAAGTGGCATGCGGCACGTCAGCAACGTACACAAGTGGCATGCGCCACATCAGCAATGCCTGGCGCACAGTTGAGAAAGCGCCAGCATGCTGCCACAGTCCTGCGTCGTCCTCCACAGTGCCAGCGTCGAGCTAGCGTCCAGCCAGTGTCCAGACAGCACTGTGCTAGCGTCCAGCCAGCGTCAAGGCAGCATAGCAAGACTGAATATTGAACTCCTGGAGACCAAGCCTTGAGTAGTGTTTGACGAGGCTGTTGCCCTCAGGTCTCCTTCCCCACAGTTTCAGATTGACTCACAGCCGAGGGCCTGGATTGTACAGTTGCAGATTTTCCCCTTGGTCCTGATGCTGTCTGGGTACCTGCATACAAACAAGTGTGTGTGTCTGACCGGCGGCCTGGGCTGGGTACACTTTGACTTTGACGGTTGGGATCCGACAGTTGACTTTAGGCAACTGTAACTAGCCCAAGCCCTGAATCCTTATGTGGGGTTCTTTTTCCCCTTCAGCCCGGGTCTGAGTGTGGCCTGGCAAGGCCCTCGGACTTTCCACGAGGCATACGGCATGGGTTATTGCATATCTGTGTGTGTGTGTGTGTGTGTGTGTGTGTGTGTGTGTGTGTGTGTGTGTGTGTGTGTGTGTGTGTGTGTGTTCACTGTTTGATAGGGAATGTAAAATCAGTTGTTACAAAGCCTCACTGTATTTGCAAGCAAGGAGAAAGAAGCGGATGTCTGCACACTGCATGGACAAGAAACGCGACATCATCTGACACAAGACATTATCTATGCGTGTTTCATGACCATCTGTCATTTCCTGCATTGTGCTTTGGTATGTATTTGAAGTCTGGGGCAGCATGAATTTCAAGTCACAAGTCGTTTTCCCATAGGCATGTACTCTATTTCTGGCTCTCTCTCTCTCCATGTGTTTTGTAATACCATGTGTCATTTCCGGTATGGGATTCTGATATGTATTTGAATTTTGAAGTCTGGTCTCTCTCTCTCTCTCTCTCTCTCTCTCTCTCTCTCTCTCTCTCTCTCTCTCTGTGTGTGTGTGCACTGTTTGATAGGGAATGTAAAATCAGCTGTGGTATAGACCATTACAAAGCCTCACTGTATCCATTTGCAAGCAAGGAGAAATAAGCGGATGTATGCAAACTGCATGGACAAGAGACAAGTCGTTATCTATGTGTGTTGCATGACCATCTTTCATTTCCTACATTGTGCTTGGATATGTATTTGAAGTCTGGGTCAGCATAAATTTTGAGTCACATTTCGCTTTCCCATAGGCATGTACACTCTCTCTCTGTCTTTCTCTCCATGTGTTTTGTACTACCATGTGTCATTTACGGTTATGGGATTCTGATATGTATTTGAATTTTGAAGTCTGGGACAACAGAATTTTCAAGTCGTGAATCATTTTGTCCCGTATCTGGTGTGCTGCTCTCTGTCTCCGAACAGGGCTTTGCATCATGCAAAATCCCTGGTGGGCTTTATGGATGATGGGGCCAGGGGAAATCTCATTTTGCAGCTGATTCAAAAGACCAGTGAGCACTTTAGGAGCATGGTGGCCACAACTGTTGATAAGGAGAGGAGAGGCAAGGACGATCTTGAGGACGAAGAGGACTCAATGCAGTCGCTTCAGCATGATAAGGTTGCTGCTGCGGTATGTCCTGAGTGGTCTCTGCCTTCTCAACTCGTAGTTGTGAAGTGTCCTCTTTCCTACCCTGGTTGTTAAATATCTTGATATGAAATTCGGTATTTATATTTCTTTTGCAAATTTTATGCTGCTTTCCTGTGCTGTTGAGGGTGGGGCCAAAATATCGATCGAGGTGGAAGTTATGTCACGATCTATATGGAAAGGTCCATTTGTAGATGCTTGTCTGTTGAAAAAGCATTCGCGTGTGGCTCGCCAGAGTTGGAAAATTTGGTCACGTAGATCTTGTATTTTGCCTGACCCTTTGTTTTATGCAGGCTTATAAAGAAAGTAGCTGCACTTCTATGACACTGTTGAACCCCTCATGGATGGTAAGAGTGTGAGACTGCGGGCTCTTCTAGCGAGCAGATAGGAATTCGCATGTTCCGCGAGATAGTCAACGTGGACTTGGTAGGGGCTATTCCTTTGGCCGTTCCATCAACACAATACTCTATAGCTTTTGTGAGCCATGGGGTACATGCCAAGTTCTTGCTTTTCTTTCTTTCTCGGCCTTTGGATTTTGTAGTAGGCAACCGCAATCGCCCGAGAGCTCGATTTCTAACAAATTGTGACACGCTTAGAATGGTGACACGTAATCTTTTTTGCCTCTTCCTAGTCGGTGGTGATCTGGACGACAGAGGTTTACTTCAGCTATTGAAGGGGCTGATCTTATTCCGCGGCATTTGTTCTTTGAAAAATACCCGAAAGAAAATAAAAGCACAAAAGAAAATGCGATTGACGTACGTATCAGGTCAGGTTTGTGGAAAAGGGCCAAAAAAAAAAAAAAAAGAAAGAAGGGCTGCTCGCGAGTACCAACAACAACAGCCTCTGTTGCATACTCGTGAATACTTCAACAAGTATGGGCAGAACCAAAGATCAACCAATATAGGATGAGCATGTATGCAGCGGAAGTCTGATAAATGGACTGACTCACATAGACTGAACTCACGCAGATATCACTCAACACACAAACAATCGTGAGATGGTGGGGTCTGAGCCAATCATAGACGATGCTCAGGCCCCGCACAACCATACACAGATGAAAGGTGGGAGGAGAGACGAAGGAGGTGGGAGATGTAGGCAGCGTCAGATGTCACCGAGATAGAATCCAGTAGGTCACCGATATGGTAGTCCAAAATGTCATCGAACAAGATCAAAATGTCGTGGACAATTAAGTCACCAATGTTGGAGGTACAGAGTCCTAATGTAACCGGTGTCCAATCTGTGATGCCGCCGAGTATCAATCCCAACAATCTCCAAGCCTCGAATCCGGTAAGTATCCCAGCCTCTTACCACCGAAGTCCAACACTGATCTCTGTCCAACTCGTATCAAGTCTCCAATCTGAAGAAGAAGAAGAAGAAGTCTGAAGAAGAAGAAGAAGAAGAAGAAGATGGAGATGGAGAGAAGAAGATGGAGAGGAAAGGAGAGGAGAGGAGAGGGCCTCAGTCCAAACCTGCGGGTGCAAGCTGGCATCTTGGCGGCGGTGGGAGTCCGGATGCAGGTCGCTGGAGCTATGGCGCTCCACTTGCAGGCGTCTTGGCGGCGGCGGGAGTCCTCCTTGCCTCCTCGTTTCTCCTGGACTGCATTGCGCTAAACTAGCACTGCAGTCCCTGTGGCACTGTGCTCTACCAAATAGCTCAGCGTTCTCTCCGCTGCTCCTTGCTCCAGAGTGCGTGAACAGGCGGCCTCCCGGTACCTAAGTACCGGTGTGGCAAGGCCGGCCTCTATGCTGCGAGGCCGAGCCGTGATCTGAATCATCAAAAGTGACGATTCAGATCAGACCGGCGGGCGGCAGCCTCAAGAGCGCCGCCAGGCCCAACGGTAACGTCGTTTGGGCCTGCCCGTCTGGTCTGGTCCTGAATGTGGCCTAAAGGCCAACCGGTGGGCCTGTAAATGGCGCTACCGGTTTACAGGTCCGGCCTTGGGCCTGGACCGGCCTCCGGACCCCTATCTGTCGGGCCTAACCGGGCCCGTGTGACACATTGTGTAACACACTCCCCCCCTTTAAAGACCGAGATACTTGCGAGGGCGAAGTTGTCTGTCCGATACCGGGTTGGGTCGGTTGGGACGAGCTTTGTCCTTGGCAAGTCTTCGGTTCTCGTAGTCGGAGAAGATGAGAGGTGCAGATGCCTGTAAGTCTGCGCGGGAGATCCAACGGGTGTCATCTGGGTCACATGCTTGAAAGTGACTTGGTATTGCATTGGGTCACATTGCTTGAAAGTGTCATCTGGGTCATATTGCTTGACCGTGCGGATCACACGGCCAACTTCCACCGGCGGACTCTTAGCGTTCGCGACGCCTTCGGTGCGGAAGTGGCGTGTACTATTCCTCTTCCACACCCTTCGATTCGGTGCCAAGTGGTGATGGCCAAGTCATTCCGGGCTACTTGTGCTTACGAGCAGCTTGGCGAAATCGGCCTATGTTTCCTAGAAACCGTCGCGGTAGCCCACTCTTCACCCATGGACTCGTCTTCGGACCCCCGTGTGGTGCGGTTGCTTGACGAGTTTGCCGGCATCTTCGAGTCACCTACCGGTGTGGTGCCGGATCGGCCGATCTCTCACGAGATCATTCTCGAGGCCAGTGCTGTGCCGCCGAAAGGTTGCATTTATCGCATGAGCGAGGAGGAGCTTACAGTCCTTCGCGCAGAACTCGATGATTTGTTGGACAAGGGCTGGATCCGCCCTAGTAGCTCTCCATACGGAGCGCCAGTTCTCTTCGTACGGAAGAAGAACAAAGATCTATGATTGTGCATCGACTATCACAAGCTTAACTCGCAAACCGTCAAGAATGCGCGGCCTCTTCCTCGCATCGACGATGGCAGCGCGAAGTATTTTTCTAAGTTGGATTTGAAGTCGGGATATCATCAAATCTCGATCCGACCGAACAATCGTTACAAATCCGCGTTCAAGACGCCGTATGGGCATTTTGAGTGGGTGGTCATGCCTTGTGGCCTCACCAAGGCCCTGACAACCTTTCAAGTGGCAATGACCAATGAGTTCCGTGCAATGTTGGACCGGTCCGTGTTGGTCTACTTAGACGATATTCTCGTCTATAGCCGGTCATTGGAGGATCATCTTGAGCACCTTCGACGAGTGTTGGAGACGCTCCGTCGCGCCAAGTACAAGGCCGACCGCGACAAGTGCGAATTTGTCCGGCAAGAGCTGGAATACTTGGGCCATTTTGTCACACCGGAGGGCATCATTCCGCTATCGAACAAGATTCAAGCCATCCAAGAGTGGCCGGACCCACGGAACGTCACGGATGTCCGTTCGTTCCTTGGTCTTGCCGGCTACTACCAGTGTTTTATCAAGGGCTACTCAAAGATCGCGGCCCACTTGACCAAGCTTCAATGCGAGAATCGGCCATTTGACTTTGGAGAGGAGGCGCGGGAAGCATTTTTGGCTCTCAAAGTCGCGCTATTATCCGCGGAGGTCTTGCGCATATACGATCCGCTTTTGCCTACGCGCGTCACTACGGATGCGTCTGGCTATGGCATTGGTGTCGTCCTCGAGCAACGCGATGGCGTGGACTGGCACCCGGTCGAGTATTTCAACAAGAAAGTGGCCGCCGTGCACTCCATTGACGATACACGCAAGAAGGAGCTCCTTGCCTTCGTCCACGCGCTCAAGCGATGGTGGCATTTCCTCCTTGGTCGAAGCCAATTCCGATGGGTAACGGACAACAATCCGTTGGTCTTTTACAAGACCCAAAACACCATCAACAGCACCATCGCTCGATGGATGGCTTTCAGCGACCAGTTCGACTTATTTCCCGATCACATTCCGGGGAAGTCGAACCGTTTTGTGGATGCTCTTTCACGACGTCCGGATCATTGTACCGCGGTCTATTCAACCTTCGAGATCGACGACGACCTGCGGGATGGCTTCATCCGCGGCTACCAAGCCGACCCCAAGTTTCACGACAAGTACGGGAATTGCTCCTCTCCTAATCCCTCGCCTTCTCACTACCGGATCCAAGAGGGGTACTTGCTTGTCCACACACGGGGGAAGGACCTTCTTTGCGTACCGAGTAACCCTCACTTGCGTACACGGCTTCTTGGCGAGTTCCACGATGCTCCCGCCATCGGACACTTTGGAGTCAATCACACGATTGGCCGACTCCGCGAGCGATTTTGGTGGCCCGGCCTTCTCGGTGACGTCACACGCTATTGTGAGTCATGCGAGGTTTGCCGACGTTGCAATCCCGCAACCATCGTCCATACGGCGAGATGCGACCATTACCGGTCCCCTTGCGGCAAAGGGAAGCGATTGCCATGGACATTACCGGCCCGTTCCCCAAGCACAAGACAAGAGTGGATGGGATTCTCACGGTGGTCGAACGACTCGCCAAGTTCACCATGTTTTTGCCTTGCCGTTATCATGCCAAGGCACCAGAGTTGGCCGAGGTTCTTTACGCCGGTTGGATTCGAACCAAGGGTTACCCCAAGGAGATCGTCTGCGACCGCGACACTCGGTTCATGTCCGACTTTTGGTTGGCGCTCATCAAATGATGGGGCTCATCTCTCAAGCCAAGTTCGGCTCGCCACCCCCAAACCAAACGGAGAGGGCGCAGCAAACCGCACAGGTTCTCGTTCGGCTCGCCACCCCCAAACCGATGGCCAAACGGAGAGGGCGCATCAGGTTCTCTGTCGCACTCTCATCCGCCCCGACCAGAAGGATTGGGTTGAGCGGCTGCCGGATGTCGAGTTGGCCTACAACTCGTCCATCCACCCGGCTATCGGGATGTCGCCCTTCGAGTTCGAGCACAGCTCGCCAGTCACTTCGCTGTTGGACACAATCATTCCACGAACGCCCGAGAGCGACGACCATCTTCTTTTCCCAAGCAACAGCTTCAGACGTTCTCGCACGCTACGAACGCAAAATGCAAAGCAAGCCGGTATCTTTGGCTCCACGTCGCACCCGCGTCCAGGTTCCACCTTCAGGTCGTCAGCTTCGCCCTCGACCCGACTTGACTTCACAAGGAGGGGGGGATGCTACATGCTGCGCCTGCAACAGGCTGCACGGGCCATTTCCAGGCCCGTGACGTTTTCAGGCTAAAAGCCTGAAAACAAGGGCCTACAGGCCCTGTGTCGTTTCAGCCTGAAAGCCTGAAAACAAGGGCCTACAGGCCCTGTGTCGTTTCAGGCTAAATCAGGGCGTTTCTGGCCCAGAGTGTTTTCAGCCTGAAACTGAGGGCCATTTTCGGGCCCTCATAATACCGACCTGCCCTGAAACTCGGGCACCAGACCTGAGTTTTAGCTCAGGCCATTTCTGGCCTATTTTCAAGACAACCTTTGTTTGAGCTTCAACCCCAGGGTTTGGCACGTTGAGGCATTGGCAAGAGCAGCCTCCTGGACGGGCCAGCACTATATAGGATTGGCCCGCACTGCAGGCCGGTAGGTAGTTCCTAGGTACTTCCCAAGCACTTCACGTGCAGTTCAAGAGGCAGGAGGTAGTCTTCAGGATTCGGCAGCAGCACTCCGGAGGAGCGCTGCAAGAGTAGTAGCAGCGTTAGCTGTAGTCTTTAGTGTCGGGCGCTATAGCAGCTAGAGTAGTACTAGAGAGAGAGAGAGATTGGGCGGAGGCCAGAGGGACTTACCTGCAGCGCCGTTGCTCCAGCTTCGTCTTCGAGTTACCTGTAGCAAAGCGCCATCTTCACAGGTTAGTACCTGGCATATGAGAGATAGAGTTCTTGAAGCACTATATGTACATCGCCCAACTGGGCATGTAACAGAGAGGCATTGAAGGACTAGGGTCTCAGCGTGAGAGAGATTCACCGAGAGTTTTCGACCATGTGTATTTGACCAACCTGGTCACTCTTCTGCCGTAGCTAGGGTAGACACTCGTCTACAGGGCAGATGCCATCACTACAGTTGTTTTTTAGTAAGCAGGAGAGAAAAAGGGGGTAGCTCCACGCGTGCACTCTGGTCAGTCAGTACTTGATAAATGAGACGTCGTGCTGCCCTCAGTGCGAGTGAAGAAACATCGTGTGTCGAAAAGTCGAGTAAAGCGAGGGACGAGGGCGCTCCGAATAGCGTGAATGTGATTAGCGCGACACTGCATTAAATGTGCGACATTGCACTAATTGTGTCATGTCCAAAGAGGGACTAGATAGGGAGTGTGTGACTGGAAGTCGCCGCTTAGGAAAACGTGTGAGAGGCTAGCCATTGGAATTAGTTACGCAGCCACAGTAAAGTGAGGTCAGTGGTAACAGGGGTGTGGTCAGTCGATTTCGACAGATCTGGCAGGGGACTGTCTCCCTTATCTTAATGGGCTTGCTTACCTGAGAAGCGGGGGAATGAGATGGCGCGTTAATTCTTGCAGTCAACAAAGTATGTTGCACACCTCCTCGGTTTGGATACTCTAACGAGTTCAGCACTCTTGATGCCTGTTTGGCCAACGTCATCAGTAGTGGAGAGGCGACCACGTGCGGTTTGTACCTTTGTGCGTTTCCAACGCGAGTGAGTAAGATCGAAAATGTGTGATGAAAGAGACAGTGCCAAAGCAAGAAGAGAGAGCAAGGCTCTTGCATGAGCGCAACTCCTGTATGACTCCTCTCGGTTGGAACAACAACTAACGACAATGAATGAACTGTATACAAGACCCAGCCTGTAGTGGCCCGGTAGGACTCACTCATCACTAATGACACCAACCATCTATCGAACTGGGCTGACTTGCAGTTACGAGATTGAAAGGTAGGTTTCGAAGAGACTGCGTGCTTTCTAAATGTGATCAGAGTGGGCTGTACGACTCATCCTAGCCAAGAGAACGAGAAGATTGAGTTGCCCCATGTGATCGTGACACAAGCAAACGTGGTTTTGGACTTTACAGGGGTTTTCAAGAAAAGGTCGTACTCGAGATTGGCTCCCACTTCTGACTAGTTCTCTCTTGCCTAAGAGGAAGATAATCAGGCAATGGCGTGAGTGGAGACAAATGCTTGAGAAAGAGTTGTGAGCCGGTTTTGGAAAGAATACCCCTGTATTCAGTTGACGTCAGTCGTTTTCCAAACTGAGCTTGCATGTAAGGTATTGTTGCGCATGTGGAGTGAAGGGATTGACTGTATAGAAATAGGGTATTGATGACACCAAGAACCGGGATAAGTGTGTGGTGAAGAGTTTATGTTGTATTACACCAATCGGTAGAGAAGATAACGTAGATAATCATGCGTAGACTTCTATATTGGTTTTGTGTGACCGCGTCGTTTGGTCAGTGCGCAGAAAGAGCCCCATACATGCCAAAGTGATTGATGTGATCAGTGTTATCTCTGTCCTTGGTCAATCGAGGGACCTAAGGTCGGAAGATTTTGGTGCTAACAAGTACAGTCTGATGAGAGCGAATAATTTTCTCTTCTTTCTTTAGGTAGCTTTTGATGTCCCCCTGCTCAAGTATCACGTGCATGTGTTTGTCTGAAAAAAATTGCAAGTCGTGAAGACATGCAGGTGAGTAGCTTGCATGACAACTTGTTGACTTGATTAGCTCTGTTGAGCACACATCTGCAGCCATCCTACCGCTTGACGCTCGCTGTTATTGGTAGGGGAACATCATGCCTAGGGTGAACAAAGCTTTGACGAAAGGAAAGTTATAGGAGCCAACCATTGTGGGTACCATAATAGGTGTGGGACCTACGTAGCTCATCAATTGCCTTAGGTTTGCTAGCTCAACTTCTGCTATCATCGTAATACTCCGCCTTACCTGATGGGATTTAATTTTTGAAAGGGGAGGAATGTTATAATCTCCCCAGTTAGACATTTCTTGTAATTCGTGAGTAATATTTGACGGGCAAGAGAAGGAGAACTCCGTGAAAAATTGCATATCTGCTGGGGAGGTTTCTGATTGATGGGAACTGATCTAAAAAGGGATGAGTTTCTCGCGGCCCTGTACTAATCCTGCGGACACTCTTGTCTTTGCTGGTGTAGAACTTGCATGCTAATTGGATATTATTTCCGCAGGTTTTTTTAGCTTGTCTAAAAGCTAGTTTGCTAAAGAAGTGGATTGTTGTCAGTAGGCCATCTGGGCTGTCATCTATGGGTATTGTTTTGTAGCAGCGTGTTAGATCGGCAGAGAAAACTGATGTTACCTGATTAGGAATATTACAAGTATAGTCGGAAGTTGAATCGATGGGCCACCAATATGGAACTTTGAGGCCAATTTCAGATAGGGTTTGCATTGTCATCTCTCCACAGTGGATTTTCACAACTCTTATTAGTGCTTTTAGTATTGTGGCTGTTAGATCCGCAAGGGGTGAAGAAATGACATTTGCGGCATTTATCCGCCATCGAAACGAATTCTTGTGTTTTTTGTATGTTGCGAATAGATAGGGCAGTGCTTTTTTACCAATTGATATGTCAGGGAATCTTATTTTCAGTACTCCTTCAATGTGGTTTAGCAGTTCATTAGTAGTGATAGCATAAGGCACGAAGTCCGGGCTACCTAGTCTTTTCAGGGCTTGCAATCTTGTCAGATCTTTGTAGGCAATAACTGGTGTGTTGGGTGCCTTGTCGGCACTGTAGGGCCAATACAAGCATGTCCTTCGGTGATTTGCATAGACTGCCCTCGTGAAAAGAGGAAACTGCAAAGTAACTCTGTAAGCTTAAAGAACATATATTTTTGGGAGGAAAATGGTCAGGTAATGACTAGGTCTCGTACCGTGGAGAAACCACGTGTCTTGAACTCAACGTGCCTTGTTCCTTCCTTCCGGCGCATCTTCCTCCCAACTTCGCCTCCTTTTTCAGTGCACTCTCATAGAGGGCCTTAAAGAGTGGCTTATCCTTTGCGTCTGTGGCATCCATTTGTGCCTTCAGACTCACCGAAGCTTTTACCGTTGGTGCTGCCATGTTAGTCCTACCGGGGTCTTCAACATGCAAGTCGAAAAAAGTTTGGGCAAGTCTCTCAAGGTAAGTATTTTCTGCCCTTTTCTTCGGACGAACACTCGTTTACGTGCTTGGCTGATTTTCTTTCATTCATCTAAATTATTATTCATTAACAAATTGGACTAAGGCATTTCTGAGTATAGGGCATATCTAAGATTGATGACATTCCTAGGACTGTGCCGAACGACCTAGGCTGATACCGGTGTTGCCAATTCCAAATGGGAGTGTGAAGGGGACTAAAGATTCTCGGTTGATCAAAAGTGAAAAGGTGGAGCAACCTTGGTGGCGTGCTGGTTACTCGCTGGTTACCACGCTAATTGTGGAATCGCACGCAGTAGGAGAATAGAAATTACGGTACGCAATATGCTATGTCTGTGTGAATGTGGATTGTTACCAGCAGTATCCCGCTGTAGTATTCGTGTGGAAAGTGGTCACAGGACCCGTCCTGAGTTCATATCTTGTGTTATGAGCAAAGACAAGGATCGTATTCGAAGTTTCAACGTTGAACAAAGACACTTGGGTTTGTCAAATTAAGT